TGTTTTCTCAACGTTCGTTTCCATTGTTTATTTCCCAAGGTGACGAAGCAAGGTGTTTCTAATTCACATGCGTAAGAAAATTTCTTCGATTGATGATATAATTGACGGTAAGGAAATTACAATGATTACTTTGCACTTGAATTTCATTCGAAGTAGCTAGAATACGCAGTAAGAGACTTCTCCCTGTTTGGCGTAGAGTTCGCGTCACTGGAATTATACGTTCTATTAGTTTAAATGGGTTTTCCTACGAACTTTGACATTCACAATTACACTTACGAATAAAGTTGATTTCAATTGACAGTCTATGTTCGCGAAATATGAACAGTGTTGTCGAGCTATAAGCAACAGATAGATTGTCTATGAGCAATAAGCAGGTTATAATTAAATTTATAAATATTTCCATCTGCATACTAGTACTAGAAGTACCATAATGACTAATTCCATAACTTTTCATTAGAGAAATTTTTATAGATTTGTACAATCAATTTGAATGACTTTTCGTCTCCTTTATTGTATTATAAATTTTTATAAGTTTCTTCTTCTTCTCTGCTCCTTGCATTCTAATTTTTCTGCTATAAATTTTGTATTTCTTGTTCCAGTGTTAGAAAATACTAGTTTTTAACGAAGATAGTCTGCTGACTGAGGATATTTATGTAACTTGACACTCGATGATCTGTTTTCATTAAATAATATAAGTATAAATATTCATTAAATATTAAATTAAATTTATTTCATTAGATATTACAGCAAACTACTGAACTTTATGATAATTCTGTGCATTTTCTGTAAAGAAATTTCCATACAACATCATACATAAAATAACCAAAGTTCAATAGTTGTTGTAACATTTCATAATTAAATTAAATAAAAATCAATTCCATGCTTTTTTGCACCTGCAATAACAACAACCTGCATAAGTCTAATAATTAGATTTATAATTTGTATACGTCTTTCTGTATGTCTGTATAAATATATGTTTGCTCATATATTTATTTTTAATATATCACAAAGAGTTTTCTTCAAACGATAGCTTTTGTTATAGGCAACGATGATGTAGGATGTTCCATTCTTAAATTATACAAATCTCATCAGCTTCATACATATGTTGCAATGATGTTGAGTTTAAATGAAACGTTCGTAGAAAAACATGTAAATTAGAAATTAATACGTAACAACTCTTGGCTTTATTGAAATTTTATGGAAATTGTTGTGATTCAGAGTTTTTTTAGAGACGTCTTGTATAATTTGCACGACTTCAAGATAAAGATATCTCGCATTTTATGAAAGAAGAATTTATGAGAACGATATCATTTGTATAGAATTTTAATCAAGTTAATTGTGTAATATTTTTCTATGATCTCTTACTATAGATTACAATAGTAGATTTTACGATTTACTTCGAATAGTTCTTGAATCATACACACTATCATATATTAGCATTAATTTGCTTGCTTGTTCATCAAAAGTAGTTACGCTACCAACAAGTTCTTTCTGTTAATTACAAAATGATTATAGTGATTAATGTCACGGAAAATTTTTTTTTCTCTCTCACAGAGGAAATATTTTTGTTTCTTCCGTTTTTTTTTTTTTTTTTTT